CAGTTTTGTACATCTAGTCGTGCGCATCCAGAGGGATCGGGCATCTGTTGTCAATTATGACCTTTATGTTGTGTCCACAAACATTACGCCGTGTGTCTGTCTATTGGTGAACTGAGGGAACCAAAAAGTTCTCCTGCATCTGAGGCATTTAGTACATAACAGATGTTGGAAACACAGATGATTAATTGGTTAAAGAGCTCTCTAAAGTGAATGCAAGTGTGAGAACAACTACAATGGTATGAGAAAAGCTGCAAAGACCAATTCCTACAAGAATGAGATGTCTCTCTTACAGATAGAGTTTGGCCTCCACTGTTAATCAAATAAATGATAAAAACTTAGATCTGGACCAAATCAACAAGGTATCCTGATTACAGCAGAGACCTTCACCCTGATCCAGGATAAATCCCTCAGGGCTGGTTCTCTGACAGGAAGTCCAGAAATCGGGGGTGAGTTTCCAATTCAAAAGCACACAATAGCAACAATACATGTGTGTTGTGCACTGTCTCCCCCTCCTTCCTCTCCCCTTCTTCCTTAAACAAACATCCTTCCTGGGGAAGATTATTTCAGATCAAGTCAGCATTTCCACATAAAGAACATTTGCATACTGTATATTCTAGCACCATACCGGGCACACCATCCATTCCACGGACTCATTAAGTGCTAAAGTGGAGCGTCTTGGCTGGAGCAGGACCCACGGATCAATGCTGGCCAGTTCTAATTGAGGAACGCTCATTATGGGAAGGGTATTAAAAAGGACAAGAAGAGATTAGTGGAAAAGTAACGATTAATTGCAGCTGCAGCATGGGTAAACAAAGGCTGATGCAGAGCCGTAAACCTTAAAGACTTTCTCATCATCGACCTCGCAGATTAACTGAACATATTGGGATGGGTTGGATGGGTTGTTTTTTAAAAACCAACCAAGCCATAACTTTGGAGTGACCACTAACAAGCAATGCCATTTAAACACATCCTTCAAAACAATATCTAACCAAAATGGACAAAAGCCAGTATAGAGTTGATGTATAATAGGTATCACAAGTAGATCATAGGGGTAACAGTGGCTAACTAGGCCTAGTTATCCAACCAATTCTATCCCTGTAGTCATATAAAAATCTGTATTTATTATTTTTTTTACTTCATTGATAAGATTTACTTTTTTTTTTTTAACTCTCTCATTTGTCCAAGAAATGATTTACTTATTATTTATAAACAGGGACATTGCACAACCAATGCTGACAATCTCTGAACATCAAATATCAGCCAATTAATCAGCTTGGTCTATATATAGATCACTAATGTTCACACGTCATGATGTCTCTCATTGGATCAGCCTCTGAAACTTTCACTCTCCTCAAACAATCAATATCACTCTGTCTGCTCAAAGCATCAGATGTGTGAAAACACCAAACCGCTGTTAATGAAACCAAGTGAAGGTTTTCTCATTCCATCTCTTTTTGCCAGATAAAGCCAAATAACAGCTGCTTGGGTAGTGAAGACTCCACTATTTCGCTTGTCAGCAGAAACACATGCTGCTGCAGAATTAGAAATGAGCAGTCAAAGAGTGAGATCAAGAATACAGAGAATGAAAACCAGAATATAGTTTGAAACTGATCAAAAGCAACGGTCTGTTTTGGGCCTTACGTGCTGTGAAACTGGATGAACGCAGTGATTACTGACATTCAAGCAGGGAAATGTGAGGAACTCGGCCGAAATATGTTGAGAAAGAAAATGTTAGTAGGCTTTTGCACCCTCCCCCCAAAACACCATCAGCACTTCAAACAGAATTCAACAGTGACCTACATACATAGGTGTCAAGTTACTATTAAAATCAACAAATCTACAAAAATGGCCTGTTCTAATCCATTTGCACGATACGGTTTCTCTGCCATCTCTAAATTACAGGAACTAATGGAAATGTCCATCTTTAAATCTTCATTAAAACAATCTCTCCAAATGCTTCTGGTTCTTTTTCCATTGTTAAAAATACATCAGGCACAGCACATAAAGAGGGGCAAAGCATCTTCCAGGCTTTTTTTTTTTTACAACTGATGCCAATTAGAGCAGTCAATCATTTTGTTTCCCACAGCTTCAGAAAGCTCTTATATACATATTCACTTTGCAAATGCTTGACAGGCTCACTTCCCATGTCTGAAGGATTATACCTACATTATCTAATCCTTCCAAACAGCCGTGGTAAAAAACAGTTGTACATTTCCTGCCAATCCTTGGAAACGTCAAGCCCAGTCTTCCATCTCCTTCAGTTCTTTCAGGTAAGAGAAGCTCTTACCTGAGCCATAAGTGAGCCTTTGAGTTGGTTTCATTTGTGATTCCTTTATAAAAAATCGGAATGGAGAACCCAAGGTATTGAGATTTGCAGAAAAGAGTCAGATCGTTGAGATACTGTTTGCCTGAAGCCTGTATTTATTGGATTTTAATAGCTTATAGCACCAACTCCAGGGCACTGAGAATAAGAACATGATTTTGATGGAAAAACTCTATGTTCCGCATCAAGCTGATGTTAATCAATGATAATCCAGTTAGAAATGTATGCAGCTTTGATGTGTGTCTCTCTCCGACTTCTCCAGTTTCAGATTTTCTCCTCATGTCTGGTTGCCTCAGCACAGAAATAGATCACCAAGCAATTACTGCTTCCTCTTCTGCCACTAATTCATGACAGATTATTTAGCCAAATCAGCGATGTTTCACTAGGCAAGGCTGCTTTCGAAATCTAGGCCATTTTTCAGTGTGCGCCTTGCAATTCCTGAGAGAAGAAATCATTCCTATTATTGTTTCTTTCCAGATCCTGTCATCTCAAGATATTTGAGCAAACTGATCCACAAGCATTTTTTCGTTCAGAAATGGCAGAGTAATAGGGATTTGCTTGTGGGGGAGGCTGGAGGTTCAAATTGGCAAGAGAAAGTGATATGACACAGCATCCATAGAGAGGAGCTGGAGGAGGAACAATAGTCAAAATGAATATCAGGTTTATAGCTTTACATTTACTTTATAAACTGAAACAGTCTCTCTTAGCATGAAAGCATCAATGTGCTGGGGATAACATTTCTCAGGGATGTGAATGCAATTATTATTCAATTCTGCAGTTCATCTGTAAAAGACACTAAATAAAAATGATGTAAATTTAACAACTTAAAGGCTGATAAAAAAATGGCAACAGTCACTATTGACAACCAGGTCATCCATTAAGGGACTAATGAATTTCCATCACTTTTCCAGCCATTTGTGATTAGTGGAATAGATTTTTAAAATATTTTTTTATAAAGATGGCAGCTCACATTGAAAATGAATGATGTATGAAATAATAATTTAGTGATTATTTTAATTATGCTAGGTTTTTTTCATGATATTGCAACCGTCTAGTGGGCCCTGGCTCCCTCTGTTGAAAACCAGTGAGCTAAGCATAGCTATAAGAATTTATATTTGGTAATTGTAATGATTTTTTTAATGGCTTAATAAGATTTAATTACTTTCCATTACTTTTGGCATGGAAATCACTATTTTTTTAATTCTCTAAAACGTCCATATTTACTTGTATTCAATGATCATAGCATAGGTACTGGAGCAAATTACAACCATTAAAACAACTCTACTAAAATACACTTTCTACTTAAAAATCACAACAATGTAAAATCATAACCATATATACAAACATTTATTGAACTAAACAAACAAACAGCTAAGATGGCTGGCTGGTCTTAGCTGGTTTAAGATGGTCTCCAGCCTGATTACCTGAAAAGCTGACCAAACCCCCTTTAAAACCAGCCAAAATCCAGGCTGGGACACTAGCTAAAACCATCATACCAGCTTAGGCTAGTTTGAACTGTTTTAGCTATATTTCCATCCAAAACTTACATTTAAACACCCTAAACCAGGTCCATGCTCTGTTTGGCGATATTTATGTCACAATGACCTACTTGAATGAAAACTCCCATAGATGAGAAACTCACTGGCTCTCATTAAAGGAGCTTTTCCCCACACTTAGCAGCAACAGGCAGGGCTCATCAGTTGCTCAACTCAAAGTGCCAGTGACCGGGCAAATGCACAATAGAGCAGGCACACATAACGGCGTGAATAACGTGATAGCGAGCTTCACTAATGAAGTGAATCATTCAATTCGTCTTTCAGTTAAACACAGCTTAGTTTTGCCCCATCAGACAGATGTTTCTATGGGAACGGAACCCCTCCAGTGAGAAAAAAAACGCGTTGCTTACACACACACACACACAAGAAACAAGCGCGGTGTATTGTTACAATTACTTCATGAAATACTACATTACTACTCAGAATACGAGAAAACATTCTCTAAGCCTTCAGACTAACCCTTTAAAACGGTCACCACAGCGCAGTATGAACAACATTAATGAGGTTACATCCATAACCGAACTGTCACCGAGCATCACACCTTTAACGTTACTTCAGTAGGAGCCAAGGCACAACAGTTTTCCGTCAGATACAATTCAAAACGGCTTTAAACGTGTTGCTTAAGTCCCTGACCTGCTGTAAAACATCTATGTCAGCCAACCTGACATGTTTCAAAAATCAATAGGTTGAACACAGCACCACACCAGCTCGCACAGAGACACGCAGGGCAAAAGAAAACGCCCTGCCTTGTCTATACGTACAACATACACACGCTGACTGAAGGGATTAATACAGAAAAACAGCACAAACGTCACATAAATAACATATTTAATAGCAAAACCCAGTTTGAGTTAGTATCTATTGACAATATCGCTTCTCACACAGGCGACTGACTGACCGACCGACCGCACATCTATCATTCCGTTTGGACACATTGCCACATGTGGAGAAGAGCTAGCATTGTTTCTCACATAGTCCAATAAATAGCGTTTTTCTTCGGTAATACGACTGCGTTTGCACCACTTGCACTCATACACGTACACTGTAACCTATCCAACAAGAAACACAATGGTAGCCGACTAGCCGTGTAGGAAAACACATTAGCGACACAATTCACTTACCTTTAACTTGCGTTTCATATTCAGCTATAATCTCCTTGTCCTTTCGGAATTTAGCCGGGGACGTCATATTGATCTAAACGAAATAAGTCCTGTCACAGCGAGAAACACCGCGGAACAAACGCCTCTTCGCCCGCACTTCGTCCACAGATATCCAGTGATTTTGTAGGAATGGAAAGGAGTGGATGGGTATGGTCTCCTGCCGATGATCAATCACGCCGCATTATTAGCTGGAGCTGCCGTTGGCTTCCTAGGTCGAATATGTCCGTGACAGCACGCGAGGAATGAAGCAAACAAGAAGAGTTTCATCCCACCGTTCACTCACACCGGATACGAGCGACCAGACGCAGCGCCTTCAAAAGTTCCAGCCTTCCTCCAGCGGCCAGACGTGAGTGAGGCTAGTCTTCTCGGGGCAGGCTGAAGGCATGGATTCCCAGCATCACACTGCACACAAACAATCAGGGCAGAGAAAAGTTCACTGGATCAGATTTCTAAAGGCTACTTCCTTCCAGTAAACTTCCTCAAACTGTTTTCGCTTTCTTTCATTTGTTTAAAACAGACGTTCAACCTCATCAAAGCACCTCTTTACAATGTTTAGGTATGAAAAATATAATATGACGCCTAATGTGGACACGAAAACTGATATTATTATGGTATTTGACAATATTTAGTACTCCGTGATAAAAACAAGCATAACAATCGGTGTCTACTGCATGAAAAACTGGTTTATGAAATCTTTAATAATGCACGTGTAATATACGGAGTAGTCAGTTTTTGTCATTTGCATGAGTAAGTAGTGGTAAATTGTATTGAGATTATTTTCTGACACTTCTAACATTCCTCAAAGATACTTGATACATAACGATATGGCTTCAATTAAAAAACACATCATTTCAACCCAAAGTGTGGAGAATCATTCTGAAATGCTGCCAATTATGATTTTATATCTAAGATGGTCAAAGAAAACTCAAATGTCCAATCCTGACAACATAACTGTTGCCATAGGATAAGAAAACCCTAAAACAAATGTGTCCAGTCTATTGGACACATAGAAAAGTAGAGGTTAAAGAGTACTGTAACGCTGTCATAAATTGTAAAATGCTTTTAAACAGAGGCTGCCAATCTTGAAGACTGCAGGGTCGTTGGGGACTATAAATCACCAGTCCTAAAATGAAAAGTGGCTATGAGCAACAAGAGGGAGTTTGTCGAGTAACGTGATGTGAAAAGCAGAGGCCCCTGGTGACTCTGAATAGTTCAGGGCTCTCTTTATGGAGATTCCTGCGTTTCATCCGGACGATTGCAGAGGTTTCTCGTGCCTAACGCACCCCATCATCTACTGTTCAATTGAATCTTTCAGCCACTTACCTTAAAAGGCGATTTCCATGTTTAAAATCGAGTTTCATTTACCAGATTTCTCCCTCAAGACTTACTCTTACGCTCTTCTCTGAATTTTCCCAAACTCAAACCCCGCCTCTTTTCATGGAAGAGAAAGAACAACCCCCCTTCTATTGTCATTGGTCACAATGGTCACACGAACACGACATGAATCTATCAAATTGCCAAAAGATAGATTTCTGAGGCATTAATACTATTTTAGGCCTATCTCATAAGACCATTGCATGCCGGATATTTTAAAGGCTTGAGTGAATTAAATCACTTTAAACTGCCATTTTAAATCCTTTTTTACTGTTGGTTTATTTTTTCCTTTTAATTTATGTCGTCCTTGTCTTCATGATAAAAATGTAATAATCATCAGAAATTATTTTTGTAGATGCATTTTTTTCTTGCAGTTCTCTTTTTTTCTAGCGATGTCTGAGTCGTGAATGAATCCTTGCGAGTCGGATCTTTTCATTGAATCAGTTGAATCGGTTCACAAACCCGGTCTGAACCATTCTTCGTTTATAACAAGTGAAGTGAAAATTATGTTTTGCTTAAAAGGAGATGAGAATTTGTACACTCGTCGGATGTGAGAAAAATGCACTTGTGTATCCTCGCTCAAAGCGAAATGTCTTAATGAATCATTTTTGTTTGAGGTTTTAGTTACTTTGTGATTTTATGAGCAGACTTGCTGCAACAAACCGAACTGGAACGCATTGCGTTATCCTTAATAATAATATTTAATCAAAATAAACGTAATAATCAACAATATGTGCCTACAAATGGCATTTTTGGGACATGCAATCTACCACAATGGGATGTCACGGACCACGTGATGATGATAGAATCACAGAACCGCTTTTGAACCAGTTTTTTGAAAACAACTCGTTCAAAAGAACCGATTTGGAGAATCGAGTCAGACTTCCCCTCCCTAGTGGTCCGAACTGGAACGCATTGCGTTATCCTTAATAATAATATTTAATCAAAATAAACGTAATAATCAACAATATGTGCCTACAATGTATTTTTTGAAAACAACTCGTTCAAAAGAACCGATTTGGAGAATCGAGTCAGACTTCCCCTCCCTAGTGGTTTGTGGTTTGCGGAAAGTCACTGCAACCAATCGCCCAAGGAATTTGAGCTGACCAATCATGTGTGAGATATGGTAATTTGGAACCAATCAACGTTAGAGATCGGACTGTTTGAAAATCATTCAGGAAGTGTATATCCGCTTTGACGCGGACGTAAACAAACGTAGCTAAGCAATCTAAGCCTTGCTGTAACTATTGAGAGATTGTACCATAGTACAATGTGTTTCTCTGCCGCCTAGATCTAGCACGATCGGATATCCAGTAACGTTACCAGGTAAGAATGGTTTTATGGCATGCTTAGTAAAAATAAATAAAAAATAATAGTCCATATTTTAGTTAGCTAGCTAGCTGTCTAATAATAAGAAAAGTACAGCTTTTCCATATTCTAACAGAAGTGTAAAACGAGCAGGAATTACTGTGATTTATATCCACAATGTTCATTTGAGGGGCTTTTCGGTTTTTGTGATCAACAGACTCTAACTTGGGAGTTACTGCAAATGTAATACAGGTGCAAACAGGCTAGAGCTAGCTAGCTAGACAGGTGCAGGTAGTCTCAGTCAGACTGTTAAACATCTGCTGTGTCCTTCACTGTAGGTGCTGACCCTTTGTTATCGTTTTAAAACAACAGGACCTGGCGTTTTGTTAGGAGCTTTATTTGAGAAGATCTCAACTCAACAATGTCTACTTCAAATTTCAAGAATAAGTGTGTGACGCAAGTCAACTGTATATACTGTGACAGTCTGCTGTGTATGAGAGGGATGAAAGCAGTACTTTTGGCTGACACGGAAATAGAGTTGTTCTCAACCGACATACCACCAAATAGGTGAGGCTTCCGTGATCAGATTTCACATATATAATCATGATCATCATATTCTTTATGTTTAATGCCTAAGGTAAACATAAACGAGTCTGTGTTGTTTCCCCCATATAGGGCAGTTGATTTTGTGGCCAGCTGCTATTCCACTGAAAGCTGCAAATGCAAATTAAGAGACATTGCTTGTTTAAAATGGTAAAGAGGTCTTTATAATTACTATCACTGCTATCACTTAGTTTTTACTCGTAATGTTTGGAATCAGAAAAAATATGTATAACAAATATTCTAATATACACTATTGTTCAAACATTTTGGGTAAGATTTTTTTTTTAATTAATATTTTTGTTCAGCAAGGATGCATTAATTGTATCAAAAGTCACAAAGTTATATATAATATTATAAAATATTTCTATTTCATGTAAATAGAATTTTACCTTCTATTCATCAGAAAAAGTCCTGAAAAAAGTGTTTCCACAAAAAAAAAAAATAGGCAACACAGAAGTTTTCTACTTTGATAATAATAAGAAATGTTTATTGACCAATAAATCAGCATATTAGAATAATTTCGGACACTTAAGATTGGAATAATGACTTCTGAAAATTCAGCTTTACCATTTCACATTAAAAATATTACCAACCTTAAACTTTTGAATGGTAGTATATTATCCTTTTTTATTTACACTGCAGCATTTAGACTCGTAGGCTGGCATCAAATGTGTTTTGGTAATGTCCAGTCCATTGTTAACACTGAGCCATTTGCTGTTCCGTTTCATTGTGTCTCTCAAAGCATTTGAATCAGGTGTTTTTGACTGTCTCTCTGGCTCTTTCTGCCCATTCAGTGGGAATGTTGTGGGATATCACGTGGTGGCCCCATGCAAGCCCTGCTTGCTGTCCTGCAACAATGGTCATTTCTGGATGTTCAACAGTGAGGCTGTGTCCACCATCAACAGACTGGATGCAACAGGTTTGAGACGTCTGGTGCAAAAACACTGTCAATGCCCACTGCTTATGTTCAGACAGCCTTTGCGTACCTTTGTTTCAGTGATTATCTGCTCATAGCCATCAAAAAAAGATCCTATATAAGCGCCCATAGATTGTAACAGACTTTGACATGGAATTTTAAAACTTCAAATGTGTATAATTCTGCTTGAAGAGCAGTAGCATCTGGGTTCTTTCTTCTTACTTGCATTCTTTATAATTTTATCATGACTGATTGAAACCCAGACAAAAAGCACCTTCTGTTTTTCACAAGTATGAGCCATTTCTTGTGTACTTAAGAGAAAATTAAGCTTAACTAGACATGCACTAATGTTAAAAAGTTTGGGGCCAGTAAGTGTTATTTTATTTATTTTTTTTAAAGTTGATCAAAAGTGACTAAAGAAATTTATAGTATTTACAAAAGTGAACTACTTTAACGAAAGTTAAAAAATGCTGTTCTTTTGAACTTTTCTGCAGAAAATATTAAGCAGTTCCACAAAAATATTAAGCAGCAAAACAGTTTATAACATTGATAATAAGAAATAGTTCTTGAGCAGCAAATCAGCATATTAGAATGATTTCTGAAGGATCATGTGACACTGAAGACTGGAGTAATGGCTGTTAACGGTTCTTACAGAACCCAAAACTTTTGAATGGTAGTGTAACAATTGCATTTCGGACATGTGTTAAAAATGCTTCAAACATAAATAATACAAGTCTGTCTCTTTCATAGGGCAGAACCTGCTGCTGTGGGGAGATCTTCCAGAACTGGAGGGCAGTGATGACGAGAGCCTGGACTGTCTCTCAGAAGAAGAGTACCTCAGATAGAAACACGCATGTCTAAAGGAAGTAGACTCTGACGGTAGCGAAAACGTTTACTTTCACTCACATAAATCTCCATTTAAAGCACATTGTCTTCTCTTTAGCTGACTGGGAATAGGCAAAAGGAAACAAAAATAATTACCATCCCAGCTTGATTTATATGCATTTTCTTTCTGCATCCTCTCACTTTAGTTTAAGCATTTCAGAGGGCCATTTCCAAAAAATGTTTCAGTTTTCTTTGCTTTACGGTTACAGTAGCACAAAACATGATGATTGGATTTAAAGATTGATGATGTTATCCTCATGTGACTTTATTCAGCATTCACAAATGGTTCAAGACTGTTCAAGAAGATTAACAGCAGTGTTACTTTGAGGTGTTAATAGTTTATTTGCTCTGGTACGAATGCAGTTTTTGGAAGGCAGCCAAATGGCCACCCAGCTAACAATTTCTTTCCTAGATAGATAGATAGATTAGGATTAACAATCATGCAAAATTGTATGCTGGTTCCACAAGTCTAGGTTGTTTTATAGGACGAAAATGACTGACATTTACCATGTTTTAATGGTTTACCAGTATATTTGTCCATTTTTAATTGAATGTCACATATTGTCCCCTGAAGATGGATATCAATTGATACATCTATCCTAAACAAGGCATAATCTTGTCTTTCATCTGATTATTTAGATTACTTACATTTTGCTCTTTTCATGGCTTTGACATTTGAAGTGGCACAAAATGATTTGGTAGCTTTGAATAGAGTAGTTAGGTCTCAGCTTAGTGACATTTGGCATTTGAACAACTTTGATTTAAAAAAATTTTTTTATGGTACTTTGCTTTGGCACACTCTTTTCAATTAATGAGGTTTCGTGATATATTTTTTTTATATAGTTTAAAATTTGTTCTTTCTGTACTCCAGTTATGTTTCACTATTTGTCACCAGGGCAATCATGAAAAGAAATTACAGAAAAAAATCTGCACTTAATTACTGTAAATTCTACATGACACTCTGTGACATACTGGACAAAGCTTTTTTTAAGCTTTCTGATTTTTTTTACATGGAGGTAACACAATTATTTGCATCCTCTTCCGTTTTGATTTACAAAGACATGATATAGTCAGTCAGTAGCAGTTTTTTCACAATCCTTTTTTACCATTTCACTGTGTGATGATCATTTTTAAATATTTCAAAAATATGAAGGCTATTATGCCCCACTGTAAATGTCTTAGCATGACATTTTATGTCATGTTGTATTAAAGGTTGCATTTTCAGTAAAAATAACAGCAAAAAGAATAAACGACCACTATTGTGATAGCTTTCAGGTGTAGCATTTTTAGGGGTTGGCCTTTTATGCCTTGAAGCGATCTTTAGTATGCATTTATGACCAAAATGAAACAATGAAAAATATGTTTTGCATTTTAACTTATTAACAGAGGATTTATTTGATTTAAGTTATCTGTGTTTTGAATGTATTTATTAACAGACATGTGGCTGTATTTATACTGACATGATTTAATTTGCGCCATGTGAGGATGAGAAAAAAATAATAATTTGTATACTTTTGATCTGCACTGACAATATGTTGTTGGTTTAAACTTTGGGTTATTTTGTATGCTGAATGTCTTGATATTAAACCTTTTAATGTGGATATGCCTGTGTACATTTCCTTTATTCACCAAAGGTCAATACTGTCATTTTTAATTGTTTTAAAACGTTAATCCTTATGAATTGATATACATTGCGTGTCAGATCAAAACCTACACTATTGTTCATAGGTTTGGGGTTGGTAAGTTTAGCTACAATGCTAACACAGATGCAGAGCTATTTTGCTGGAATGGCATAAACTCTAAAGCAATATCTTCAATATTTCTCTGATTCACCTCTGAGAGTGGCTAGACAGATAAAAGAAATGCCTACAGTAAGCGAGACCCACAATTCACTAGAAAAGCAACAATATGTGACCCTGGACCACAAAACCAGTCTTAAGTCTAAAATATATTTGTAGCAATAGCCAAAAATACATTGTATGGGTCAAAATTATAGATTTTTCTTTTATGCCAAAAATCATTAGGATATTAAGTAAAGATCATGTTCCATCAAAATATCTTGTAAATTTCCTACTGTAAATATATTAACTTAATTTTTGATTAGTAATATATGCATTGCTAAGAACTTCATTTGGACAACTTTAAAGGCGATTTTCTCAATATTTAGATTTTTTGTGCACCTTCAGATTCCAGATATTCAAATAGTTGTATCTCAGCCAAATATTGTCCTATCCTAACAAACATCAATGGAAATCTTATTTATTCAGCTTTCAGATGGTGTATACATCTCAATTTCGAAAAATTGACCCTTATGACTGGTTTTGTGGTCCAGGGTCACATATACATATATTATCAGCAGGAAGGTTAACAAATAGAAACAAAACAGTCAAATCATATAACATATTTTAAATCATATAAAAGAACATATTTCATTAAACCACATATGTGCATATTGTACAAAGATTCACATTTCAGCAGAACTATGACACAAAGCAGCAACTATGAAAGAATTCATTTGAATAAACAAGGCTGGAATGACCCACATTTGAATCCAAATAAAAACCTGTATGACTTGAACATTGCAGTTCACAGACATTCTCCATTAAATTTAGGCTAATGTAGTGACGTTTGGAAGTTTAAATTAAGAAATAATAATCAGAATTTCAAGGTGGGATAGTTTCTTAAAGGAGACGTTTGTATAAAAAAAATATTTGCTGGAATATTTATTCTCCCATTGGCCATCCAAGATGTAGATAGTTTGTTTCTTCATCAGAACAGATTTGGACTTGCTCACCAGTGGATCTTCTGCAGTGAATGGGTGCTGTCTGAATGAGAGTCCAAACTGTTGATAAAAATATCACAATAATCCACACGACTCCAGTCCATCAATTAAAGGGATAGTTCACCCAAAAATTTAAACTTGCTGTAAATTTTCTCACCCCTCAGGCCATCCAAGATGTAGGTGACTTTTTTTCTTCAGTAGTACAATAAAGAAGATTTTAAGATGAAACCGTGGCCTTGGTGATTCATAAAAGTCAGTGGCTGCCTGTTTTTGAGAGAAAAAAAGGAACACAAAATTAATACCCTTGGCTCCTGACGATATATTGAGGAGTTATGAAGCGAAATGATCGGTCTGTGCAAGAAACTGAACATTATTTACAACATTATTACCTGTAATCCATAGTCTCAGGCAAACGGTCTGGAGTGATGTCCGGTTAGTGAATGAATCATTCTTTTGAAATGGTTCTTTTTGGTAAACTAGCTGAGCCAGATTACCAAATTGGACCGAACCATCTGAAACAGTTCACAGCTCGAGCAGCACAAGTTCGTTTTAATGATGGCTTTATTACAGCTTTTCACAGACTTTTTTATCAGCTGTTTGGACTCTCATTCTGACGGCACCCATTCACTGCAGAGGATCCACTGGTGAGTAAGTGATGTAATGCTAAATTTATCCAGATATGCTCCAATGAGGAAACAAACTCATCTGTATCTTGGATAGCCTAAAAAAATTATTTTTGGGGGTGAACTATTCCTTGAAATGTCAAAATATTTGATCTGTCTCTCAGCATATCAGGCCAAAATCCATGCCCATAATCTCAAATGAGCAAATATAATTGCCCATAAAAGGAAGATCTGGGAATGTCTTAATTCTTAGAATCAAACATGGGTTATTTCAGCAACCCGAAACCCCATCCACAAAGTTATTTTCCAATTGAGAATAAACTTATTTTTCTGTGATACATGGTAATAACTGTTCAGACACAGCTTGAACAACATCTTTCAGTATTTCAGACCTATCTATCAAAACTTTGTCTTTATAAACACACCTCCACTCCTTAACAAATAAATAATTTGTCAAGACGCTTGTCCCTAATCCAGCTCCTCTTTGTATGTGTGCACACTTCCTGACAAACGCAACGTTAAAACGCATAAACGTTAGAAATAATATATTGTTCAACATATACTTTTGTGATACCACACAAAATGTTTAGTCCTGCCACTTTCAGCAACCTGCTAATGGTTAAAATCACATGTTGTCTCAGATTGTACAAATTCATACAAAATAGCACATTGTACAATACTTACACCTATTTATGAGCAACAAAAATAAGCGACAATTAGAATTCTTTGAATGTTACACTTATGAAGTATGATTTGTTTTTTCATGCTATATTTTGAGATTTTTGTTCGTTTATTTGTTTAAGTCCATTGTTGAAAGAACTATAATGTTATTGAACGTTTTATTGGTAACTTTTGAGATAACTTTGACTGAACCTGATCGAACATACAAAGAAGAGTAAACATTGGCCTTTATCGCATGTATTTGTTGCAAATAGAGATTCAGCAGTCATGGCTAATTTAGCATGCAGTGTCGCCTAAACATGTAGGCTACAATCAGAATACCTACTAAATCATTTTTTTCTGGGTGTGTGAAAGTAGGGGCTATATTGCTACATTGTCAGTCACTGACAGGGCCTGTCAATCTTCAAGAATGTCTCAGAGTCGGGATTCACCTAAAGAATAGTGGACCTGAAAAGGTCTGTCAGTCTTTGTGAGAAATGGCTGATTTCGAATGGAGTGTTGTCCACAGGGAGATCAAGAATGTCTGTGAAAGGTCAAAACTGATTCAATATGTCTCGTACAGTGCAGAGAACAGTGTGTAGAGCTCACTGACTAGGTGTGACTGTCAAAGTGTTAATTGGGTTACTCAAAGGTACTGAAATACTCAAATGCAATAGTAATAATAATAAAAAAACAGAATTTATTCTTGTTCCTCGTTTTGTTTGTTTGTTAAACCCAGTTATGATGTGTCTGTTTGCATTATTAAAAATTATGGTTTCTGACATACATCATATTTAAAAGAATTTACACCTATAACACCAGCCTCAATAGTTCAGCTATGTTATGGGATCAAGCACAATTGGAGAATAAAATATATAGCATTTATCCTGAAACCCAACAACTTGTTTGTTTTTCTTTTAAATCCGTCATTTTCCTCTTAGAGATTACTGTGTAACTATGGTACCTGGGACTTTCTTTGGCCGTATGAAGCCTATGCCTTGTGTTTCTTGTTAGGGATTTCAAAAAGGTGTTCAGGAGCGTCCGCCTTACTTCTTCTTCTGTGGTTTTTATTTGGCGGTTTGCAAACGAAGTACATTACCGCCATCTGCAGGACTGAAATGTCAACTCATTGGGATATAAAATTTTAAAGGGGTCATATGATGCGATTTAAATTTTTCCTTTCTCTTTGAAGTGTTACAAGCGCTTGGTGCATAAAGAAGATCTGTAAAGTTGCAAAGACTAAAGTCTCAAATCCAAATTTGAGATATTCTTTATAAAGTTAAGAGTCAACCACGCCTACCTAAAACGGTTTGTTCTAACACGCCCCCACATGTCTACCTCACGATGTGGGAAGATTTGCATAACGCTGCCCAAATGTTCATGCAAAAAAAGAAGGCGTAACTTTTATTCTCGGTGTAGTATTGTTGCTGCCGCCATGTCGTGAAGGCGCTGTGTATTTCGTTGTGAAAGCGAAACTACTTTGTTTGGTCTTCCAAAAGAGGACGATATCCGCTTCGTCATGCCTACAGCTGATCCGTGCTGGTCGCTGAGGGAATACATCAACTTCGCGCTGTGGATCGCCGGATCGGCTTTCACCGTGGACGAAGCGGAGTCCAGCCCGGGGTAGTCACATGTGGTTGCCGCAAGCCCGCCGGCCCCTCCTTCGTCGAATCCGCAGGCCTCCGCTCACTCAAGGCCGCCGTGTGTGACGCTGTGTTTCGTTGTGAAAGCAAAACTACTTTGTTTGGCCTTCCAAAAGAGGACACGACTAGAAATCAGTGGTTAAGTTGTATTTACAACACTGTTCCAGAACACTTCAACCCAAATATTCAGATGTGTGCAGCACATTGTTTCCTGATCCTGGTAGAGTAGACTACAATGCTGGCTGTTCTGACTCACAGACTGTAAGTACGTTTTTTATATATAAAGAATTTGCCACTGATGATTCAAACGCAAGTTTTGAGCAGTGTAGAGTAGCGCTTGTTGTTTGTCATTTCTCCGATCACAAATGCAGACATGGTTTTATGTTTACATGGCGCGATGCAATGCGTAAAAAGACTGTATAATCATTATAATCCATAATTATGTCCCCACTGGATGCAACAAATGCCGTTTATAATGGGTTTTAATGTTTTTGCCTCATCGCTCCGGCCGGACAGAGCATCACAGTATGGTAGGGGCGTAACATTTCCGTCACACGCTTTGAGGTATTCGGCCAATCACAACGCACAGGATAGCTGGCCAATTAGAGCACACCTCGCTTTTCAGACCGATGAGCTTTGTAAAAAATCAACGCGTTTCAGAAAGGTGGGGCATAGAGGAGAAATAATAATGTACAGTATGTGGGAAATAATGTGTTTTTTTAACCTTAAACCGCATAAACATATTTCATTACACCAAATACACAAAATAATGTTATTTTTAG